ACTCTGATCATTCTGTTCTTCTCGACTTCTCGACTTCTCGACCGTATATTCCTCTCCTTCCTGATTCGGCATTTCTACATCTCAATTCTCATCTCATCTTTTTTTTGGTGTACCTACTACCTACTCGCAAATTGTAATCTTATCATACCTCCCCTACCCCCGAATTTGTGAAACTTACTATTATGCAATGCGTATCCCCGAACAACAACCTTATATCATAAATTACCTAGGTATATTCCCTCAACGTTGCTTGGATGTCATCAGTACTTTGTAGTTATCCAATGTCGTGTGTGGCCAAGACTCAAAAGCTTAAGAGAACCTTCTTTTTCCCGACCTTTCTTTCTCCCTTTCCACTCTCCACTTTGGGAGTATTACAATTTACCAACTCATAATATTTCACCAACCAACCTCACCAGATCTCGCATACAAAAACTTTTCGTTCGCAAAGTTACGACTTACAACTTACAAGTGACAACCCGTTCCAAAGAAATTGTGGAATCCGGAACCTTATCCAAACCCACCTACCTAGTACCTAGTACCTACTCAAGAGATCCCAGCAATCGCCCAGGACCTACGTGGTCCTTAATCAAACGACCCCCCTTCCTACGCATTCCTGAATTCGCCCCCAAAGCACAACCTATTGGATCAATCCCTCCCACAGCACTTCACCCAGCCGCCGCACGACTAATCTCCAAATCCTGGCCGCCGGTCGGTGTATATGTCAGGTACAGTACAGTCTGCAGAACAGGGCTGCAGCAATCCCTACCGCGGTCCTCCGATTGGATCGAGATTGGTGCTCATAAAAATGGATCTCCTTCCCTATTGTAAGACGTAACCGATGGATGAACGAACATTGGCGATTCGAAAGAATGGCACCAGAAAATCTTCCGAGCCCGATTGCAAGATTGATTTGTGCACATGTGAATTTACCCCCGCCGTCTTGAGTCTTGAGTTTTCATAGTAAAATTGTTCACCTGGTTGATTTTGATGGTATGGATTGACTTGAATTGAAATACTATTCGATGGAAGAGCGTGGAAGTGAGAAGTTGAACATGTAATACGGGATATTGTATTTCATTGATGTGTATGAGTGAGTGTGTGTGTGTGTGTGTGTGTGTGTGTGTGTGAATATGCATGTGTACTAGCTCTTGTCAAATCGTCATAGGTGAACACTCCAGCCCACCGGACATATCCGTCGCCGCCCCTAGTTCCCAGTCAAGTCCCTGGTAAACCTTCATTCATGCCCTGCCAGGCTGCCAATCTGCAACTCCATCACTCCATCACTCTGCCCTAACATTCCATTATAGCGGCAATCAACAAGGCCACGAGGCGCCAAGTCTTCCTTCCAGACTTTGCTTTATCCTTTCAGGTACCATTCGAATGTCACTGGCTAGGTAGTCACTGGCTCATTGATTGGTAGTATTTGGTACCTGCAGAGGTATTTATCATCAGCCCATTCATTATTCATTATATTGACTCGACGGTATCGTACATCATCCATCACATTCTAGAAAAGTCAAAGAAGGAAGAACAAGAGAGACGGTGAACCGGATCGGATCGCAGGGAAAACAAGTCTAATAAGTGGAAATTGGTAATTCGCAGAGTAGTAAGTACAGAGAGAGTCCTTCTAGATTCTTTTCAAAGTTCACACTCTTTCTTCATCGTCGGTGAAGTAAAGACGCATACGGTACATCATACCTATCTCTGCGACTGAATCAATAATTTACCAACACCAACCACGCTCTGGAGTTTGAACTATCAAAACCGTCTCCATACCCTACCCTCCATTTCCATTTCCATTTCCATTTCCACCCCCCAAACCCAAACCCAAACCCAAACCCAAACCCAAACCTAGACTCTCGCCCAAAATAATCCAAATCAAACATTTTCAAATCCTGTTGAAACATCCCATACATATACTTCTTCTTCTACCTACAACCCATTCCCAATTTACTCATGTACTAACATCCTAATGAAACTTTTACATCCACCTATCTACCCCCAAATATATCAGTTAACAAACCTAATGAACATAAAATGTCAAAATATAAATGTATCTACGAACAATCTCATTCCCAAGGAGAAAAATCCCGCCCATAAAGTGCAATGTGCCATAACGATTCCCAAGTGAAGATATTCATTCGTAATTTCTAATTTATATACATCGGTCTATACTCATATCAAATACACGTACCCCATTATTATACATTACAGCTCTTCAACCCCCCTCTAGCTCCCTTCACAACCCGTTCTCCCAACCGCTAAACCCAATGACCCCTTATTCATCCATCATCCATCATCTATCATGTAAAAAGAAACACCCGCTACTAAAAATGCAGCCGAGGAAACAGTAAATTTAGGCCAGTGGCAAGGCCAACTTACTACTCGCCTTTCTAGTCAAGACTTTCGTAATAGCATGTCTAATAACGACACCAGCCTTCTCAATCTCCTTTTTCGAGAGTCCTGTCGTAATGCATACTTTGAGTGCTGGTTGTAATTTCCACTCTTCATCTTTGCCATTGCTACCCGAGTAGACGGGCATACTTTTGAGTCTAGTGATCATTACTCCATTGGCGAGTGCCTGTATACAAGTTAGTCGATAGAACCAATATTAAGTGATAGAATTGCTTGCCTCATCAACACATTCTTGCATGATACGTTCTTGTTCTTCGATACTTAGACGTCTGGAGTTGACAATATCTTGCTTGAGAACAAGGAGCATCACCGGGTTTTCAACGGCACTGGTGCAGTGAACCCAATCGCTTCTCGGATCAAGCTGAGCCCTCATTGCCTTGATATTCTCTCTACATTGTACCAAAACCTCAGGATTAGTTTGTAGCATGTTAAGCGTTTCGCTAGCGGTAGTAGCCAACATAGCTGGTAAAGCCGCGGAGAAAGTATAGGAAGCAGCAGTGATACGCTGATGTTCTACCACATCGTTTGAGCCTGCGCAGAATCCACCTCCGGCACAGAGAGGTCCAGCTAATGATCCAATCAACATATCAATTTGTGATGCGTCCACATTCTGTGCTTCCGTAAGACCGCGACCAGTTCTACCAAGAACCCCAAAGGACCATGTCTCATCCAACATCAGGCGGAATTTGTAACGACGTTTGAGTTCAATCTAATGATCTGTTAGTTATGCACACGAGCAGTAGGATGTGATTTGAGGAAATTACCAGCTTGGGCAAGTCCACGCAATCACCAACTGTTTCTGACAATCCCTCTGTAACAATAAATCTTCTGGTCAACGGTCTCTTGGCTTGTTCCTTGACTACCTTCTGCAATACCCTTTCCAAATCTTCCATATTGTTATGTTCGAAATATTTGACTGTACTTCTAGAAATCTGCAGACCCTTCCTGATTGAGTAATTGCTTGCTCGATCCGCCACAATAATATCACCTCTTTTGCAAAATGCCGGTATCACACTCGAAATCGTAGAAAATGCATGAGCATAGACAATGCATCCTTCCGTTCCCAAACATGATGCAATGTCCGCTTCGGTTTTCATGTGTACATCTTGAGTGCCGTAGAATTGAGGGGGTCCGCAAGGTCCTACACCATAAGTTCGGAGAGTTTGGATGGCCTTCTCTTTGACTTGCTCGTTGCCAACGAAATTGTAGAAGTTGTAAGATGCGAGATTCGTTACCGTTCGGCCATTTGAGAGCTTAGATTTTGGTCCTGTGGGCCTTCTTTATGTTAGCACACTGCATAAGCAGAATATTGAGGAAGGGGAAGTCAAACTCACCCTACGATGATGGGCGTTTTCTCACTATCTGCCTCTTCAAAAGGAGTCATCTTTGCAACCAATGGCTCAGGTTGCCACTCGTCTACCAAGTCATCGATTTCCTGGCAATTTACTAGATCAGTTTCCATAACTTTGACTTGCAGACCAATCTGATTAGGGAAGACCGCTCACCTCCTCCGTCAACTGAACAAAATTATTGTTATGCGTCACATAACTAGGCGCCAGCAAATATCTAATGAAGAAGATAACCAGAACCAATTCGATGACTGATCTGACTGGATCATCCTGATAACTCGATTGAATGTAGCGGATGAGCATGGCAGAGCCAGGCACCTTTTGAAAAGTCGATGTGATCTCGTTCATGGACGAGACCATGTACGATTGAATATCCTGGAGGTCCATGTTGATAGCAATCGGGTTGGCGGCGTCAGAGAAGAGAATCGAGTATTGTGTTGAATGAACGATTGCTAGAAAACGTTCCCGCTTCCGCTCGTACTGGCACAAAATAGTGCTGGCTTGTTCAATGATAGTTATCGCACCTTGCTGTCGGCTTCGCGTAATTGAATGTCCGAGGAGTTCAAGTTGAACAGGTGGACTTAAGATAGATTGTAGACTATCACTATCCGTATAAACCTCAACGATGCAAAAGAAAGATGCTATTATTGTATTGTATCTTCTTCAAGGACTAAATGTGTAGGTTATCGATTTATTATAACTTACTAGCTAGAATGTGATGTGGGCTGCAAAGAAAATTAGTAAGCTAGTGAAATTCATGCTACGATTCTCTGTAAGGGAAAAGGAGGCACGTCAGAGTTCCCTCGTTTCATCCAAATAGATTGGACTAGCATTGCATGAATGATTGGAAAATTTGGTCACATTGCAGTCGTCACAGTAATCGGCCACTTAAAGAAATGGGGATAACCAAAAATTTACTCATATTCATTGTAAAGACTCTGTATTATCTTTGCGCTGTAGAAAATATTACAGCCGTAATTTGGACTCTAGGTGATTGAAGCCTGAGCATCCAGTATTGCATTCGGGTCATTATGGAACAGTAAAGGAGGGAAAAGGAAACAAAAAACAAATATCTAAAGCCGTTTACCATGCAAACACCCTAACTCAAGTTTAAAAAACACCCCGTGAAGTGACGATGGCCACGCATCCATCCCAAAGATCTTTTTAATGTACTGCATACCATACCATACCATTCTATATTACAGCCCTAGCAGTCACCTATACAACACCGTCATTCTAAAAGAGCCTAACCTTGGCAGCTGCTGTGCTAGAGGCACTCGCTGTGGCACTAGCACCAGAGCAAGTCACGCAGCCGGTACCGGTCTTGTTGTAGCCCCGAGTGTCGTTGTTATTTTGGCCGGTAGGTTGGTAAAGATTAAATGGAATCTTACTGGTCAAGCTATCGGACAGAATCATCTTGCCGGCAATAAGTGGACCGATCAACAAGGCAAGGAATACGATGAACAAAACGAAGTAGATGACAGCGTATCTCCAAACACGTCTCTTTCGTAGCTTGGATTGCTTCAACGAGTAAATTGGAGGACGAATTTGTCGACTGGGAGAAATTTAGCTCGGAACCTATGTGAGTGATGCAGTGGAAATAAACATACCTTGGACGAAGCCAGAAGAGCATCACAGAATGAAGCTTGTCAACCTGAGGAATGGCGATGACAGGAAGCATGATGAAGAGAATGAGATGACCAAGAACGAAGTCACCAGCAAACATTCCAAGCTCAGTGATCTTGCAAAGGAATTCACGACCAGGTTGGGAAATTGAATGCCAACCCATGGAATACCATTTACCAGTCCAGAAGGCGATGTTGGATGTATCGGTCTTCAATTCTCTGGTCAATGTCAAACTGATAATGAGCTTGTAGATAAATCTTTGAATGGCGGCCGAGGCAATCATTCCCAACAAAGTCTTGGCGAAGTTAAATCCTTCCAAGAAGAACATGACCTCGAAGAATACTAGGCAGAAGACGACGGCGAGAGCGTGTGCAATAGCGGCGAGAACTGATCCGAATTTCTTGCAGCACATGCCAAGGAGGGGTCCCATACAACAAGCCATACCAAACATTGCACCCAATACACCAGCGTTGACTGCAATAGGAGCACCGGCTACAATTGCCACACGAATCAAGCCCGCTGTGGCTTTGGTCTGGGTGCCATTATTGTTCTCTGGGATGACACCTGTTTGAGCGTTGATGAAGAGATATGGAATCAAGGTGAGAGCGACAATCATGAGCGGTCCAACAATTTCACCGAAGAAAAGGTTGGAGAAAGAGGCACGAGCAGTATCCCCAGACATCTTGGCCGATGGGTCTCCGAGAATCTTGCGTTTGTAACCTGTGATTCTGGTACGCGAGAGACGACAGAAAGCAATCCAACTTGATGCATGGGAGCGAGAGTTTCCGCGAGACAACCATCTCAAATAGTCTCTGTAATCAATGAAGAAATCGTTCCAGGCAAATTGATGAGGGTTGTACAAGAATGGTGAAATACACAAAGCAAGGAGAGTAACCCAGAAGTAGACCAACGCAGCTTGCCAGACGGTGATGGTTGCGAACAACAACATCATCAGTAATCTAGCTCCGAGATAAATCGAAGGACCAGCAAATCGAGAGAAGAGAATACCGAAGGGGATACGAGCAGTGGCGAAACCACGACCAGTTCCGATATACCTGGCACCACCGAAAGAAAGATCTTGTTGGACAGCGTTGGCATAAATTTGACAGACGAAAACTTCGAAGAAGGGTGACAAGGAGCAGAATTGCTTTCCGAGACGAGTAGCCGCACGCCAGAAACCACGTTCTGTCAATTCCTGAACCGTCAAGGGCACGAAGGAAATGAAGAACACAATGAAAATAGAGATAACGCAACGATATACCCAGTTGGTAATAGGAACGATGTTTGCACAACCGGTTGGGAAGAGCGCATCGGTGATGGGGACGTTGACGTTGTAATTACACTCAATGACCTGGTTCTTAAGGGCTCCCAAATTGATTAAGCAGATCATGAACAGGTTGACAGACAACATAATAAACATGTTGTTCAAATGGAAACCAGGATGGGCGTAGTAGAAGGACAAGAAACGATCGATGGGCAGTTGAGTACCGAGGTAATAGTACTCTCTTGACAACATTTGTTCACCCATACCAGTTCCAATCTTTGTAGTGAAGTTGAGAATCGAGCCAAAACCAAGATCACGACCTTTACCGCATTGATAGTACTCGCAATGCTTGATACGACCTCCACGAAGAAGTGCGGTCATACCAGCGTAAATATCCTCGTTGAGATGAAGACCTTTTTGAGCTTTGGAAACACCACCTCTGGTAGTCATGAAAATACCGTTCAAGAAATCAGGATGTCCATAATGGAGCTTACCACCGATGGTAGCAAGAGTACGTGCGAAGAGTGTACCGAATGTTTGTTCCTTTCCGGCAGCGATATCTCCCAAAACACCAATGTTCTCAGAGAAAATATATTCACGAGCACCGAGAATAGCAACAGGGGCGACCTTAGGATTGGAAATACCAGGAGTGTAGGGAGAGACGTTTTCAGTCGTCATTTCCTCAAACTCGGCCAAAACGCTACGAATCTTCAAGCACTCTTCCAAATAGTTGTCTTGATTGGCATCAATGAGTTGAATGTACTCACCACGATAGAAGATGATGGCATGGTTTTGGTTGTCGGATTTTCCATCACCCAAAATTGGGTTACCAGAAAGTTGAATACGGAACTTGGGTCTGCGCATTCCATTTTCCATGATTTCAGAGTGACCATCAATGAGAGCGGAGTAGAGACGTGGCTCTTCACCTTCGGCAAGAGGAGCTTCTTCATCTAAGTAAGCGATTTGAAGATCAGGGTAGGCACGGAGAAGAAATTCGGTGTTTTCCATCTCCTCTTTCTTGAATTTGGCGTAACGTTGCATAGAAACACAAAGCTTGAACTTGCGGCGAGCCATACGCTCAAGTTCGCGCTCGAGCTTGTCAGAGTTGCCACCGAACATTTGAACAACCTCAGGGTTCTCTACACGGTAGAGAAGCTTGATGGCACGGCTATAGTTCATGAAACCAGAGATTGTACGGTAAAGAGTTTGTGCTCTCAAAGAAGCCCAGATACGTGTGCGGAGAGTGTACTCGGGAGCGGCCGATTTGAAACCAATGCAGTAGAACGGAAGGTCATCGATCTTGCTCTTGGCAGTGTTCTTCTCCTCCTTATCGTAATCGCCATTGAATTGAGAAGTCTCGTCGGCAAGAATCTTAGTATCCTTAACGAAGCAGTCCCACTCGTGAGGGTGCAATTGCTTCAAGTACTCAAGCATAGTAACACGGGAGTATGGCTCGTCTTCACGAATAATCTCACGCAGCGAGAACAAGATCTTCTCTCCGTAATGAGGAATCATAACAGTAAAGGTTGGCATGTTATCGACTGGGAGTGGCTCCGGGATAGGAGTGGACAAAGATTGGGCGAAGAAAGAGATACGACGCTCGGCTTCACTCTGACTTGGGAAGAATTCCGTTTTGAAAGAATGATCTTCTTGTGAGACGAAGAAAGTTGGGGCTCGAAGAGTTCTCTTGCCTTCTTGTTCAGATGGCACTTGGTGGTAGAGAAGCTTTTGGACGTGGTCGATAGCAAGGAGATGCTCTCTGTACATGGAAATAACGATGGCGTTCCAAATCTGAGAAATGAGAACCTTTGGCTTGTACTTGATCTCCATGTCAGTGGTGGCGAGAACCTTGGAGTAGATACGCTTTGGCAGACGCGAGAAGATGTTTCTCCATGGTGTCCAGATAGAGACACCAAGGTAGAAGGACCGAGCCACTGAGTAGATAGTGTTCATAATAATGTACCACATGAAAGTATCCAAGAAGAACAACGTAAGATCAGTAACGAACATGATACCAAGGAGAATTTTGGGCTGCAATTTGCAGAGAATGTCGCCGAAAATAGCATCACCGGCACAGTAGGAAATTTCCATACTAGCCAAGTATCTGATAGGATCACGGAAGGATAGAGTCAAAAAGACGTAAGATTCAGCAAGTTTGGCTCCGAAGACCGTGATCCAAAGGCCGTAAGACATCCACATGTCGTTGCCTGTCAGACGAGGATAACTCGCAGTGAAAGTTTGACTGGCAACGTATTGTCGAGAGTTTCTGGTCAAGTAACTACCAAACAATCCTCCCATCGGCATTATCGAGAAGAAGAAGTAGGTAATCAGAGCGATGAAGAATTGGACAATACCCAGGATCAAAGCAATCTTCGTCTTTTGTGTGTTGGGAACGATGAAGATGTAAACACTGGGAGCGACATTGAGAGCGAGAACAGCGAGAAGGAACAACAGCTTCTTGGTCAAATGTTGAGCACCTGCCCAACGACGAGGAACGTAGGACCATTCGCAAATTGTAGCTATAACCATGATAAGACTTGCAACACCACCACCCAAAGCGACTGCAGACCATTGTGCAGAGGCTGGAGGTTGATTGTTCTCTTCTTGCTTGTAATTCTTTTCCAAAAGGGTGGGGGAGTTCTTAGCAGTGAAGAACCAGAATGCACTGATATGAATGACCCAGATACGATTGAAGTTGACCAACATGTGGAACCAGGAACGAGTTTCGCGATACGTTTTGAAGAAGACCTTATTCCAGTTGACATCCTTGAGCTTGAGATAACGTTCCGCGGGGGGGAGATCCACTAGACGAGACTTGTCTTCCATAACGATTCTCTCAATACCTTCAGGATACCAGAACAGTTGATTACAGTCATCGTATCCGATAATTTCATTGTGATCACGTTCTCGGCGAACATATTTACCATCCTGAACTTCGTAACCTTGATCTCTGCAGTATTGGTACAAAGGCGTTATGACATGGTTGAGGTATGTGAGTTCCTCTACCGGCTCAACCAAGTTTTGGCAAGCGGGCGAGTTCAAGTAGTCATCGGCACATTTGAAAATGAAGCAGAGAAGTTCGGGCATAAATCGGACTTGGTTGGCTTCACCCCAACAGAGGAGGTAGAGGGCCAATTGACGTACTCGGTCATGTTGAGACATGCGGTTCATGCGAGTCTTCCATCTGTACTCAGCAGCTTCGAGACTGTTATCGCCCTCCATCTGCTCCAGGGTCTGGGCTTCATTTTGGGGATCTGGTGCTGCCGCCTTGGCTGCTTTGCGGGCTTTGCGAGTACGACGATCTCCTTTGCCAAGTTTCATGTTGGCAAATCCTACAGCATCATCAAGATCGAGATGAGCGGCAAAGTACCATTTTCGGTAGTTGGCATTGTCACCACCAATGTAATCTGCGTGGAGAGACAAGAGAGCTTGATTTGGAGTCATACGCGAAGCTCTCGAATCGAGCAGAATCATCAAATGATCGTACACATTCCTCATGCTGTCACGTTGGAAACCAAATTTGGCAGTCAAATCCAGGAAGATATCTTCGATCTCTTCCTTCGATAAAGGAATTTGAGCGTCTGAGGTCCAGGCGGGATATGGCTCCTTGGATCGTTGTCCAGCCGGAAGTACATTGTTGAAGTCCATTCCGTAATTTGGCGTTGACGCTCCGGACGATCTGTTGCCACCATATGAAACCTGCGAAGATGGCGGTCTGTAACCACGACCACCCATTTGGCTCTCGTTGTAGCTGTTGTGTCTCTCATCGCCGCGGCCATAGTAATCCATGTCGGTGGCTCGAGCCATATCTGATCTCATGGTAAAGTCGCTGAAAGTCTCAGAATCCTCTTCTGAATCGCCCCGACGCTTATCTGGAGGTGCTTCGCCAGCTGCTGCACCACCCTGCTCGTAGTACTGGTCGTTGTAGTATTCATCTTGATATTGGCCTTGGTGTTGATCGCCACCTTCGTAATATCCTCCCTCTTGGTGATATGGATTGTTGGCATCAGCATTGTAGTAGCCTCTGTAATGTGTAGTTAGCTTCCGATCTACGAAAAAAAAAGTCACCGAGGCCCACTCACGATTCATCATAGTACCCTTCACCACCTTGCTGCTGATGGCCTCCATGACCTTGCTCGTAGCCAGCATTGTTGTCGTAATATTGTTGACCTCCGTGTTCGTCCTGATAATAAGATTCGGTGTTACCGGGCTGATGGCCGTAGCCTTCGTCGTATTGGGCACCTTGTTGAGGGTGTCCCGACATGATTGCGTGTTAAATTATTTACTGACGGATGGAATGTTAACATTGAGATCTCCAAAGGTCTTCCGAGGTGAACTGGCGCGTTAAAGTACTGTTCCTTTGCCCCGGCCTTCGTGGCGGATGTGCGAGAGTGGAAAGGTGAATAAAACGAAGAATGAAAATTAATACTCACAAATTAAAGGCACATTGGAAGAGTGAATGATTCCGTTGGAGTCCTTGAATTGAAAACGGGCTGAGCAAAATGCTTGAAATGCGGTCAAAAAATGATGGTCGTGATGTAAATTAAATAAGACCGATTTTGCTCGTCTTAACCGTGAATCTTTCGAGAGGATGAATTGAATAAAATGGAGGATACAAGGACTTGACCTCTTTTCGAAAAAGAAGGTTTACTTTTCCGAGAGAATGTCGAATGAGTTGTAAAGAGTGACTATTCAATTAAAAAAAAGATATGTTGATGGTTTGAAGAAGGAAGCAAATGGTGCGAAATTTCCCTTCTGTTTTCTTCCCCTTTATTTTTGGTGATTCGTTGCTGCTTTGGTCTTGTTGATTTTCGTTAGGGCGGCTTGTTGTCCTTCCTACGAACTCGAACTACCTAGTAAACTTTTGATACTGTCGCGTCTAAATGGAACGAAACAGGAAAGATAGCGCTGAACGAGTGTTTAAAGATTTACAAGATCCAGTTTACGGACAAAGTAGTCAACACGAATCGAGAGGGAGAGAGAGAGAAAGCGAAAAGCACACTGAGAAAAAAGAATATCCTTCCTTTCTCTCGAGGTTCTATTCCAAAGGTGTTGGTATAGTTGTCGAGGTGTGTGTATGAACTTTCCCAAGAATGAGAGATTAGGGAGAGGAAGAAAGTGAAAAAGTTGTGAAAGAGGAGCAGCGAAGGATTTTTAGAGCACTACCAGTACTAGGTAATTAACTTAATAATAAGGAAATTCGGTCTACGGTTCATTGAGAAAATCAATTTTGGCACTAAAAACAGGGTGACAGTTATTTAATTCTTGAGATGGGAGAGAGCGGGGGGGGAAAGGTTGTTTTCGTCAGTAAGATATTATGAATTGGGTGGATCTACACAATAGCTAAATAGAGTACTGGCTCGAGTCTGGTCCGGTATGGGAGTCTGGGATGCCAGTCCAGTCTGTAGTGCACCAGCAGAAATATCCATCTCGCTTTGGGGGGCAAGAGAGTCGAGAGACAAATGATACCTGATATTTACCAAAAATAAAAGAGGCTGGTCTCTATGGTTGGTGGTGGCTGCACGCTTTCCATTGGTTCCGATGATTCACATATCAGCATCCATTGTGGTGATAATCTTGGGGAACGAAAGGGAGACAAGAATACTTCCCCATGCAGTTAAGATGCGTGTACACATGTGGACAATCACCTCGCGGTAGACAGCAGAGAGCATCTAGAATAAATTTCGATACTCTGGGAGTCTAGGTAGCTGCTGCACTAGGGACCAAATAAATGGAACCGGGAAGCTTTGAAATGGTTCAGTTTAATAAGTTGGATTGACTCGTCGACTACCTACCGAGGACTCAGGATGGGCATCTCGAGAGATTCAGGAGACCGATAATGCTGACAATTGATTTTGATTGGGAGGGGAAAGTTCTAGAGTCCGGATCATACCTGGTAGCCAGGGGCAAGTATGAAGAAAATCATGAGAGAGTTACCCCGATAGGATTTTCACCTTGCTGCTTTTGTCCTCCGATGGCCAGCTCCATGCCGTTTTTATTAAATTCGTTCATTTATTACAGAGGTCATCAACTAGTCTCGAGGTACTCGTAGTGTAAATTCTATTCACTATTATCATTATCATTAAGTTATCGTGTTGAACACTTTGCTAATTCAGGGGCACGCAACAAGCTTGCGCATCAATTGACCCATACCTACCTCGAGCCATACCTACCGATACATCATGCTCCGTACAGCAGAAAGCTTTGCCCATTGCTAATCATCTACCTACGCTCGAGCTACTCGCACCATATGTAGATAGATAGATATATATATATAGGTTATTAAGCTCGATAAAATAAGTACCGCTACAGAAATACCTTTTCCAATTTTCCTTTCCTTTCCTTCTCAATTTCATTGGACTTAACCATTGACCTGATGCGTCTTTCTCTTCCCCAAGTCCATTCGTTGTCAAAAGCTTGTCTTCTCTTCAATCCACAGATGCTATCGATATCTTAATGCCTCATGGTATTATTCTATTGTATGTCAATATTGCCATCGATTTCTAATTGCTTTTCAAAAGAAGACCATGGATTATCATGGCACAGCATCATCGTCTTCTCGTGCCCCTGCTGCTTATTAGCCTGAACCAACAGGGACGGATCCATAATGGTTTCTTATCTGCATCAATCTATTTATTCCTACAGTGCTGCTGTTGAGAGCTTCACTTTTATTCCAGATCATCATATTTACATCTACGATTCTGCTCTTGTATCCTCATCGGATTAGCCATTAGGCCGTCGGATAGGTGCCCGAATTCATACCACATACACGCATCGATACTATTGATAATCCGTTGATGTGATGAAGCCATTGACGACACTCAGTCATATCCCGGGTGGAACGAGATGATCCTCTTCCAAACGGTCCAGAGGAGATGAAAAGGGGGATAAAACGGCAACTGATCGGTGGTGAGTGGATGCGTCGAGTGGGTATGTGCCACAGTCATGTTGGAACAAAGGCGGTGCATGCATGAATGATACTTTGCAAATCGACCAGGATATACGACCACTTTTATTCGGAAAGATCTCGAGCTATCGACAGGGAGTCGGACTCGGAATCGATATTTACTCCCTTAAAAATTGAATTATATAAAGTGCTGCTTCAAATGTTTGAAAGTTCAACAGCAGAGCAGTACTCTGGAAATTGTACCGGGTCTATTAATTTCCTCGAAAAGCAGCAGGTATTCCGTTGAATTACGTAGAGATGAAATCCATTATTGAAGGCTGAAGCGCGTCGACAACCCATCCACTCAGAAGTGAGAAGTGCTTGAAATTTCTTCTAGCCTGGACTACTAGGTACTCAACAACGAACTACCTACTCGGCCACTATTTATCGTTCATTCTTCTCTATGTTAGACTTCTGGGGTTCCGAAGGCTTTCCATCCGATCAACAATACAGGCGGGTTGTGAAAAACTGATCGGGCTAGGTTCTCTTGATTCGTGCCTCTTTTAGTCTCCTAAAATAGATCAAACTATGTTCCAGTTGGGTGGCGATTCCAGATTTCCAATTAGCTATCATTGGATACTGTAACAATAATGTCCGAAGCTTAACATTCGACAGGATAAATACGATATTGATTGGTAAGATTGAACTGATATCAGAGAATATTGATGGGAACTACTGCAGGGCCGAAACTAAGAGCAAATATCCTTTCAAGAAGTCTACATAACCAACCATCTCCCCCATTTCCCATCCGAATCGAACATTTCTGCTCGTATTTGATCCAGAATGTCTTTGAAGCTGAAGGTGGTGCACCAAGACGCGTTTTGAAGAGACAGCCGTTTAGATGACAAGTGGAAGTATCGTGGGGCTTTTGCTGCCAGTAGATACTGGGTACTCTGTGATTTTCCATCGAAGTACCATCTCGGCGACAGCATGTGATGAAAGACTGTATATCGGTAATCGATTGACATGAAGATCCTCGAGGTCCTCGGGTAAGTTAAGTTTCGAACGTGATGCAGGAGTGTAACATTCGCCTTGCTGCACGACAACAATTGGAGGGGAGAAGTGACATGGCTCAACATTCACTTGCGTTAATACGAGCTCACTACGACTTTGTCAAGGCGGCTGATTTGAGGGAATGAGAAGGAGAGATAATCCTGTGTCAGCGTCTGAAAAGATGTTGTATTATGTACCTAGTATGCTCAGCCTACCAGTGATACCAAATTCAGACGGAAGCTGTTTGTCAAGTCAAGCCTTCCCGACCAATAGAGGATAGAATGCAGGAGACTGTATCGTATTCGAATTCGAATTCTTGAGGATTGATGGATATTTTATACTCGACTACCCATGTAGGTAGGGAGGTCTTGACAACAATCTTCTATGAGGGAGGGAAAAGCGTATGAACATTCAAACAAAGCCGAAACAAATGTCTACTTTCAATTTCATTCAATTTGTGTGTCCTCTGGATACCATCATATATACCCTTTTGATGAGATGATTGATTTTCCACATCCGTACCATTCCAAAACTACATGTCTCGATTTCTCACATCCGCACTTATCAATTCGTACCAACCAGTCCGAGTTATCAGACCAATGATTACTCCTTAATTTACCAGTTGGGGCAGTGCGAGAGTGCTTCGAGAAGCATGCAAATTAGGATCAGCCAATATCCCAGACCAAATCATGAACGTGTTTAAGCTTTTACGGAGTACGTTCAGATTATTTAAGAGGGCCCTAGTAAGTGTCCAGAAAGAACGGCTGTAATCATCGAGATACGTGCTAGGTGGGTTTGTGAGCATCTTGTAAAGCACAGTACCAGTCGGTAGCACACATTGTATACTGAGTCCTGACCAAAGATGTCTGTGAAGTGGTTGTGAGCGACGTGTAGGATGGATGAAGTTGATGTTGATGGATTTTAGTTATTTACCTATGATAGTAGTCATTCATTCATTCATCCATTCATTCATCCATCCATTCATCCATCCATTCATCCATCCATTCATTCATCCATCCATCCATCTACCATCCAGTCACGATTGAACAATCCAATAACAGGGTCAACAATACCTACCTACCTAGCAGCCTAGGTGCTTCAGAGGCATGTACTACGTATGAAACTTACGAATGGCCAAGAATTTAATCCAATGGAATCCATCCATTCATGTGATTGGCTCATTCCCCTCTACCGGCACGCTCCTTCCCATGCTTCCCCTTCCCACAAGTAGATTCAAGGTGGAAAAAAGTTTCCTGAATTTCCCAGGTAGGCAATCGGGATAAAAGAGGATTGGGACCAAGATCCAACAGACCCAATCTAATCTCTATCTAGTCCAGGAACATATCTTTCTTTAGCACGACTCTCTCTACCAAAGTACCAAAGTGCTTTCGTAAATTCGTACCCATCTCCACTCCGAATTTATACCATTGAATCATTCTCCCGTATCCCCTAAATTATTCTTCCAATCCAAATCTCCTTGCCACACTTAATGGGACTGTGTTAATCATTCCACTTCCACACTCCTCGACATTCATTTGCTATCTTTCCATTTCTCCAGCAATCCCATCTCCAACTCATTCTAGTTAGGAAGACAGTCATTCGTTCAAACACACATTTCTTTTTTCTTTTCAACTAGGACATCTGCCGTGCAAGTCGTTGTTAGAGAAGGAGAGATTACATCACCAACACACTCGTTCTTCCCTATTCCAAAACTCACCTGAGACGGAAATATCTTTAGCAAGCAATCGGGTTGGGATTGGATTCTTGAGTTTTCATCTCATCATCACAAAACAACTTCTCACATCTATCTATCGTCAACAAAATCAACATTATAACACCCCCGCATTGGTATTTCAATTAGCATCATGAAGACCTTTGGCTTTGCTTCAGCAGCTGCTGCGGCATTGACCGGTGCTTTTTTCGCATCGTCTGCTGCCGCGGCTGATCTCCCTCCTATCGTCATTAAGGTATGTCATGGATCGGTCCATCCGACGTTGTTGGAAGGCACTCTAAATGCTGATTCATATATCAGGGCTCTCACTTCTTCTACGAGAACGGTACCGAATTCTTCATTCGTGGTGTAGCATACCAACAAGACGTTAACGCCAACACTACTTCCGACGCTACTTTTACCGATCCCCTTGCAGATGAAGCTGGTTGCAGGCGTGACATTCCTCTCCTTCAAGAGCTTGGCACCAATGTCATCCGTGTCTACGCTATCAACTCCTCGTTAGACCACTCCGTCTGTATGGGATTGCTTAACGATGCCGGAATCTATGTTATCCAAGATTTGTCTAACCCCTCATCCTCTATCAATCGAAACGACCCAGAATGGAACACCGATCTCTTCGCTACCTATGCCGGCGTTGTCGAGTATGTATATCTTGTACTTGTTACCCATCGTCACATCCATCTTTCTGGCCTTTCGCTTGCATTATGAAGGAAGGGGGAGGGTTATCAATTCATCGTATTCTTTGTGTGCTAACATTTCAATTTTAGTGCCATGGCCAACTACTCAAACGTCCTCGGTTTCTTTGCCGGTAACGAGGTTTCCAACGATGTCAACAACACTAATGCCAGTGCTTTCGTTAAAGCTGCCGTCCGTGACATGAAGGCTTACATTAAGACTAAGGGCTACCGCACTATCGGTGTTGGTTATGCTACCAACGATGATGCCAACATTCGAATTGATTTGGCTCATTATTTCAACTGTGGCGATGCTGATTCTGCCATCGATTTCTGGGGTTACAACATCTACTCGTGGTGTGGTGATTCTTCGTTCACTAAGTCTGGATATGATCAAAGAACTCTCGAATTTGCCAATTACTCCGTCCCTGCATTCTTTGCCGAGTACGGTTGCAACGTTGTCCAACCACGTAAATTCACTGAAGTCGGGGCAATTTACGGCGACAAGATGACTGAAGTCTGGTCTGGTGGAATCGTCTACATGTACTTCCAAGAGGCAAATGACTATGGTAAGATATGACTTGCAAGCTTTTTCAAAGCACAAGCTGACAAAACTTTAGGTCTCGTCTCGGTTTCAGGAGACTCTGTTAGCAAGCTCGCTGATTTCACTGCTCTGTCCAAGCAATTGGCCTCTGCCACCCCTACCTTCACCAACTCTGCCTCCTACACCGTTACCAACACAGTAGCACAAGCATGCCCAGCAACCGGTACCGCTTGGGCTGCCTCCAGCAACCTTCCTCCTATCGCAAACGCCGAGCTTTGCGAATGTATGGTTAAGTCTTTGTCCTGTGTCGCCAACAGCGGTATCTCCGGTAACTCCAGTGCCAGTCTCTTCGACTACGTCTGTGGTTTGGATAGCGCTGCCTGTGATGGTATCTCAAAGAATGCTACCACTGGAACTTACGGTGCCTACTCCATGTGCACAAGCGCTCAACAATTGTCTTTCGTATTTGACCAATACTACCAAAACAACGGCAAAGCAGCTACTGCCTGTGACTTCAGCGGTAATGCTAAGACTCAAACTGGTGCCAAGAGCTCAACCTGCTCAAGTCTCATCAGCCAAGCCGGAACCGCAGGAACTGGAACTGTTACCAGCGCACCAACTGGTACTGGATCTTCAAGCAGCTCATCTAGTTCATCCACCACTACTAAGAAGAGTGCTGCCGGTGCTACTGTCGTCCCACGTTTTGACTTGGGATTGTTGCAATTGGGCGCCTATCTCGTGGTTGCTGGAATGGCAGGTGCGGGTATGATCATGTTGTAGATGATATCATTAGCATTTTTCGGCGGTGGATATCTGGCTGTCTGGATGAAGGTCTCTTCATTCGAAAATTGATCGGGTATTAATATGTCATTCATTCCTTGATAGTCATTTCATGTTGCCTAGGCGTCATTTGGTTTCTCTTCTCTTGACACCTCACGGCGTCAATTGGAGATTTTAATTTGTATATTAAATGATAGACTGAAGAGATATTTAAGATTGTGAGGAAAGCAACTTGCTATTGTAAATTTGAGATTGACATGTGATTTCTCAAATTGTGCTCACCACGAAATATGTACCAGCCCCTATTCAAGGCGATTTTAGATGCCCTTTATATTGAAATTTGCACACAAAGGCCTCAATATCTAGGCATGTATACACATAATCAAAGTTATCTAAGCGAAAAGCACATCATCACTGGCTAGCTTACGACTCCGATGACAAGCGCGAATCGGTGTGTTTTTCTTTGTAGATAACAGATGACTTCAAAAGGCCAACGATTCTTTTGAAATTTTACTTGCTTTCCAATCCGATTTATGATTTAGATCTCTGACTGGACTTCATCCTCTCTATCCGATCGTCAACTTCCAAATTGATTTAATTATCAATTGGAGAAGCAGAAGTTGAAAAAGTGTCAGGGAACGTGCCTGACATTGCGGGGAAAGGAACAGATTAAACAAAATGGCGGACGTAGCAGCGGAACTGGAAGAGGGGGGCTTCAAGAGAACCTTGAAGGACTTGTTTGCCGGGGCTGCTGGGGGTGTAGCTCAGGTTCTATTGGGTAAGTGAGATGTTGTTCTCATACTGAGGTGTTTTTTTTTGGATGTTTTTGGGTTGGTTGGGATAATCACGTGGAGGTAACGAGATATGTTGAGAAGTGGAATTGTCTTCGAGTGATGGCAATGGTTTGTGGATTTGCATATGCCCTTTGGCGAATATTCCATAGTTTTTAAAGTCAAGTCTGGATCTACTTTCATACTTGTTTACAAAATAGAAACACCACAACGAGCACTTCACAAGAAGATGATCTAAACCTCTTCCCCAGGTCAACCCTTTGATATAGTTAAAGTTCGTCTCCAAACCACTACACAGTATGCAAATGCTCTTGAAGCCGCTCAAACCATCTACCGCAATGAAGGTGCTCTCGCCTTCTACAAAGGTACTCTCACGCCTTTGATCGGTATTGGAGCCTGTGTTTCCGTCCAGTTTGGAGCTTTCCACCAAGCTCGTCGTTACCTGGAAAACTACAACACTTCCCGCAATCCTCTTTCCCCAGGTCTTTCCTATGCACAATACTACGCGGCGGGCGCCTTTGCCGGTATCGCCAACTCTGGTATCTCGGGTCCCATTGAGCACGTAAGAATCAGATTACAAACGCAGCCTCACGGTGCAGAAAAACTCTACAATGGTCCCGTGGATTGTGTTCGCAAATTGTCAGCTCATGAAGGCGTTCTCAAGGGTCTCTATCGCGGTGAGGCCGTTACCATTATTCGAGAAGCGCAAGCTTATGGTGTGTGGTTCCTTTCTTTCGAATACATGATGAATAGCGACGCAGCCCGCAACAAAATCGAACGGAAAGATATTCCGAGCTGGAAAATTGCTTTCTATGGTGGTCTAGCCGGAGAAGCTTTATGGCTGGCTAGTTATCCGTTTGATGTTGTGAAGAGCAAAATGCAGAGTGATGGGTTCGGTAAGGAGATGAAGTACAATGGTATGAGAGACTGTTTTGCAAAGACGTGGAGAGCAGAAGGCGCAAGAGGATTCTGGAAAGGCATTTTCCCTACGTTGTTGAGGGCCATGCCGGTCAGTGCGGGTACTTTTGCCGTGGTGGAAATGACCATGAGAGCTATTTCTTAGATGGCTGAAGGAATGAGAATAGTTGGTGCGTTTAGTAGCCTGATGAGTTCATGAGATGATGAGAGCCATGCTGCATGTCCATTTATATAAGCTATTTTCCGGGAGCGAGAGCGATCATGGTATGGTATGGCATAGCATAGCATAGGATTAGCATTATAGCGGTGAATGAGATATAGACATCTACGTAAAGATTCCTTGTACACCAGAATTTACCAATGTCTCCAAGTACCTGTCTTCTTCCAGCTCAAGTACATGATTTATGAGCCAGAGACAACACGTTGCTCGAGGAAACCCAAAAAATTAAAATAAAACAAATTCTTACGTACTACCTCCAAGACTCTCAAATTTGACAGTTAAACCCCAAGCGTGGTAGAATTATCCATTCATTCGACTCCATGATCTCGTTCTCTGTCCTTTGATTCTTTTTTCCTGAATCAAGTATGTACTGGATTTATTAGTGAGTCTTGTCCTGCATCTTCTCGGACTTGAGCATATCTTGAAGTTGGGGGTGGGAGAGAGATTTCCGAGGGTGGAATATCTACAAAGTGATAAGTATGTTTTGATGGTTCATTTTCATCAACGTTTCTATCACTGCTGTGTTGCAGGGGTGAGGGGATGCTGTATAAAACTTGATTATGTGAAGGGTAGTGAGGTTGTAATAGTCATTGGCATGAGCTTTGCGTGGCAAGAGCCGGATTGGGTATATAATAGATAGGTAGGTAGGTTGTGTGTCTACCATGTCTTCTAGCTTCAAACCTATCGTGTTTCTAACCTTTGTCAATGTTCCACCCATCAAGATCTCGCTAGAGTTATTCAGATCCCCCTTCCCCCCCCCTTTGGTGTGGAAATTTAGTTGTTGAGTTGCTCGCCGATTGACTCTGCAGTAGCCGATATTTATGAGTTGTACGAGCTCAGTAAATCCATCCGTGTATTTAATTCATCGTTCGCTCTCATCAAACTCGACCTTTTCTTAATCATAATCATAACCAAAACCACAAATTCAAGTATCAACCTCAGCCATGTTGTAATGACCCAACTGCTGCGCATGAGCTGCCGCTTGTGCTTCCCCATGAATAATCACGCCACAATCTTTACACTTGATAGCCATATCTCCTGTATCAGTATAATAATGCTTGTCTCTCAATTTTGAGCATAGTTCTACTGCTTTAGCAATTATGGTATCGTCGGACTTATCGAAAACTCGAACGTCATTTTCGGGAATTGAGGAGAAGGGAGAAAGGGCTAGCATGTCATAATGGATTCCAGAATAGACCAGAACACATCTATTGTTGGAGCCAGATTCGTAGAATTTGTGGATGGAGAGGGACTGGGTATTGTTAGTTTGTGGGAATATGATTGAGGGTCATAATGGATTGGGATTCTCGTGGGGAATGGGAATGTCAACTGTTATTGAAAAGGGGATGACATACTTGAACATCGACACAAACGACTTCTATACCAAAGGCCTCGGCCAAAATACCCATCTCGATAGCTCCACCCCAAGCATCAGAGGTTTGAATCCAGCGACAGTAGTCATCAGGTTCTTGTTCTAATACGACTTTACTATAAAGTTCGGGGTTGCCTTGAATGGTAGAAGCTACGACGGATCGAAGCTCATGCATGGAAAGGTCATCGCCAGGAAGAACTGCCGTTCCAAAAGCTCGGAAAAGACATGAGTTATCGTCTGGCATGACACGGAGAACTGGAAGACGTTAGTGAAGTGAATAGTAATCTTGGATGAAAGACTAACCAAGTGTAGCCTGAAGTTCTGGAATTGGAATTTCAGGTACATCTCCAGCGATACCTCTCTTACGCGAAAGTGACACCGGAGCTGCAGAATTCGATGTGTTTTTCGCATCACCATGCATACCAGAGAAAGAAAATGACTTCGCCTCTGCAGTTTGTCTATCTTTTACTTGAGGGGCGATAGATGAGGTTTTAGAAGTAGAAGGTGAAGTCAATTTTGGTGATCCCACAGATTTACGTTCTTCTCTTGAGCTAATCGTAAGTTGTTCGCCATTTAACTTGATGTCCAACTTGCTCAGAGGTAATGAAGGCTCGCTTTGAGAAAGGAGAAGCGGTTTTGGCGGATAACCATATTTGATATCGAAATTTGTGAGAGATGTCTTTGAGGTGATTTCAGATATCAGATCACTGATTTTGGCATCGTCGGGAAGAGTTATGGTGGATGTCCCTTCGGGTCCTCGAACTCGCATTCGCGGCATCTTTGATATCTGGGTTGTGTTGGCACGTGGGTGTCGTCGAAAGCGATTCGGTATGTGGTTTCTATGGACAATAATACCTAGAAATACGTATGAAAGATAACAAATTTAATATTGCCGTAAATCCGTGAATCTTATATATTAATTAATAATTATCGCCTAGAATCGTTTGGAACCGTATTTAGTTTGGAGAAGAATGTTGTGGCAAAATAAGTGAATGATGTCCACCCCTTCCAGCGGTTCGCTGTTCACTTCGGCTTGAATATCCCACGAGTCACGTGGTCACATCCTTTGCCCGACCAGTTTCCGTTGCTTGTGGGGATCGCGCTCGAACGCGATTACTCGAGCTCCCTCAAAAAGCGATCAAATCCTTACCAACACAACCCCGCGATATAGTTGCTCGATTCAATAAAAAAGATGGATTCGCCTGTACCGGCCCCGATTCAAGATGAATCAAGCGTCAAGACAGAAGAACCGAAGACTTCCAATGATGTTGAAATGACCGATGCGCCAGAAGCAGAGCCTGAACCCGAACCCCAACCCCAACCCCAACCCCAACCAGAACCAGAAGTAGAAGCAGTAGCTGCAAAGCCAGAGATAAAAACAACGGGAAATGCGCCAGAACCTGTAGGTTCCCTTGCGACGGTCGACGGTGTTACGAAGGATGGATATATTGTTATGAATGAAGTTGTACACAAATTAACGGAATATCGCACGGAAGAGTATGTCCATTGTGGTTTGCGCATTTGTTTTTCTAGGGATGCTAACATGAATCTAGCGGTTACGATATCTCACAGCTTTTTCAGCGCATGCTCAACAAGAGGTTTCTACCAGATTACTTTGAGGTGATTAAGGAACCTACCGCATTCAGCACCGTTAGAGTATGTCATTTCTACCTATCAGATGCGCGCGAGTGCATTTAACTGACACACTGATAGCAAAAAATCCTCAAGAAGCAGTACAAGAGCTTTAAAGAATTCGTCCGCGACTTTGCCCTCATATCTCATAATGCACAAGTTTACAACCGTCCGTCTGCAGCTGCATATCATGACGCCATTGCGCTCAGAGAGTTATTCAAAAAGGAAATGCAACAATTGGTAGATGGAAAGGTTATTACCGCGGAGGAAGCAGAGATGCCGTATCTAGGAGAGCTCCCACCCGTCGAAGATTCACCACCACCTGGCCCTGAAGA